GTGTGTCGGTAGTGTGTCGGTAGTGTGTCGGTAGTGTGTCGGTATGGTGTGTCGGTAGCCGGTGTCGGAAGTGTGTCGGTAGTGTGTCGGTAGTGTGTCGGTAGTGTGTCGGTAGTGTGTCAGCCCACACGTTGCCCGACGAGTCAGTGGAATCGGATTCTTTACCTTTACCTAATATACAGTGAAACTGGACTGTACATGCAGTATGGAAAGTAATGAAACACGAGACTTAGTTGATATTCTTTACACCGTAGTGCATATCATTGCCTCGCTCGCTGAAAGAGGCAACTACTATCGTATTTGTGCAGTTACAGTTGCATATGTAGTATCTGGGGCGTAGCCAGGATTTTTCAAAGGGGGGGGGTCACACTGTGTCAAAGTGAGGGTACTCACCAGATTGTCGTGGCGTTTTCGCCAACTGTTGTAGGCTGTTTGCTTAAATAAGGCTTACAAAGGGGGGGTCAAGGGCACCCTAGGACTCCCCTAGTTACGCCCTTGCAGTATGTACATGTATGTGAAATAAAATTCCAAGGGACTTGGTTCACTTTCATTGCCCATTAGAGCTTGCTTTGTTTGATTTCTAAATTCTATGTTTTCAATGAATAAGAATTCTGTAAATTAACAACCTGTTTGAAATTTTAAGTTCAAACAATTTTTTTTAAAGTGGGTGTAGATGGTAGACTTAGCCTAACAGGTTCTTAAAACAGGTATTTACTCTATAAAGTGGACAATAAACAGTACTTCACGGGGTTTATAGAGCATTAAAACACAGAGATATTTTGTTATTTAATGCAGAGATTATTTTAACATTATCATTTTATTATATCTTAAGTTATTAAATATGTATTTTATTGTAGTAGTGTTTTCATTAGACGTAAATGTATAATACCTATGTCAGTTGACAGATTTCAAGTCAACCAGTTTTCTCGCCGTCTACATTGAAACAACCTGTGTTATTTCTCCCAGTTATGTTCTCAAGGGTGTCACATTCTACAGTGGGCGCCGTTACAGAGGAGCTGCTGAAAGAGGGAAAGATTGGTATTTCATGCCCCCCAAAATTGCCCAACTCTCCCTTAAAAAAAAAATAATGTTCCGTCCCAAATTTCGAGCAAAGTGCTTTGGTTTTGGAGTACAGAATTACACCAGAATAGCAATTTATTNCCCCAACCATTGACTCCCTCTCATAAACGTAATGGTTCGTGCCTTGGGGTGATTTTTCCCTAACAAAAGATTTCTTTATACGGGCAACATCACGCAACGTCTTCAAGGCAACACTTGCTCAAAAATTCAAGTATAAGATTCCGTTACCTAAATATTTCTAACACGTTAATTGTCCACTAACAGCATCTATCTATTTATCTAACAATTACAAAACAAACAATTTAACATCACGTCCCGAGTGTAGTTCAGGTGTTGGCTTACAACAATATAGTCCAAGGCTTTTTACATACACTACACCGTTGGGTGCTCCTGAGAATTGTGTTCTATTCAGCAAGCAAGCATTGACAACACGACCACAACTTTCATTTGCATGGCCAGAAACCATTACATCATTGTTACAATCTTGCGTTTGAACATCATTAACACTACCAGTGTTTCTTATCATTTCAACCGCCATCAATGTAGATTTAATTAGATAAGTTACGCTGCATTAACGACACGTTTATTGTCATCTTGGCATTGTGTTATTTCGCAAAATTTCCTGTGTTCAACTTCACTTTGGCTAACTCTGAAAAACTTCGTAGTGTCTGTTTTATGCTCATATGCTATCAACGGAGTTGCTCAGCTCATGTGTTGCACTAGACTAAAAGTATACAGACCGTTAAGCTATAACGTTTTGCACCACTGAGGAATGCATAAAATGTGATTATAAAATAACTAAGCTACTGCGCGCGCTCTCATTGGTCGATAGGTGTGTTTAGATGAGAGTATGTAAACACGATTGTGACGTTTCAGATTCGCGCGTATTTTTGAGAAATATTTTATAAAAGCAATAGAGCACTTTTCCGTGTTTACATAGCCTCATCTGAACACTTGGGGGCTGGGTGAATAGGCCCTTTGCACGATGCGGTCACATGGTATAAAATCACACATGCTGGTGAGCAAGTTCCGCAGTGGGACTTCCAAAACAAAGGCGGGTCCAGGTGGACTGGTACGAGTTGCATTGTTTTGGAAGTCCCACTGTGCAACTTGCTCACCAGCATGTGTGATTTTGTACCATGTGACCGTATCGTGCAAAGGGCCTATTTACGAAAGTTATGCAAACCCTCGACTACGTCTCGGGTTTGCATAACTATCTCGAATTCTCCGAACCCTCCTCGTGTTTAGATGAGGCTATGTAAACACGGAAAAAGTGCTCTATGGCTGGTTTGCAGTGTCACGCCATCAAAAATAAAAATTGTAACCATTCAATAAATTAAGTCGAGAAGCTGAGATATGAAAGATGATTGATATATAAATAACCTCGCCAAGTTTTAAGTCTGTAAGGTTTTCCATCCGCGCGTTATTCGGAAAAGTGTTTCACTCAAATTTATAGAGCTTTGTATGGTGTCGCCATGTTTGTGCCCCTTGGAGGGACACAAACATGGCGGCCATAAAGTAACAGAAACATCTGTCATTGAGTTTTGCCATTGAAACGAAACGTTATTACTCTAGAGCTCCGATACATTGAAATTAATACTTTGTCTAGAACAAGAACTGTTTAGTTAGTAAAAACTTGAGCAATAACTCATCTTTTGACGTACTCGACAGCCTTATCGAGCCGCCATTTTAATGTCACGCAACGCATAAACTTGGAAATTCCGAAGCGCTCCATTACATAATGAGGAACCCTGTCGGGATTAAACGTTGCAAAACGTCAAGTTATTAGAGGGTCTTACATCTGATGAAACTAAAACTTCACAAGGATTGGTAATTTCTTATTTTGGAAATTGATGACGTCACATGAAAACCGGCAATTGCTTAATCATATCATAAACGACTTTACCCCTCACCGCAATCGTCAGCAAGTTTTTTTACTCAGTACTCGAGATACAACTTCCCAACACCCACGTCGAGAGAAAAGAAAACTGATTATTTGAGGTTCACTTTGAAACCATAGGGAAATGTAACGTTTCCTAACACCCCTAGTTACCAGGGAGACAAGACATTACACGATATACCATTCTCTGATATGACGTCATTTGCCTATACATACGCTCCCCCGGCTCAAGCTGTCCTTGCATATTTAGTTTCAATGAGTACACACTCGAATTTTTCTGTCAACTAAACTCATACTCCCCAGCGTATCAGGTGCGTCCTCTGTTCTTAGGCTTCTTTGAATTCAGGTTAGTTTTTCTGTATTTTTAAACGTGAAGAGCTAATCTCAATGAATGCATGTAAGTGCGGCTGTCTTTTGATAAATAACATAACGACAACAGTTGTGTAGCTGCCAAGTAATGTTAGCTCAGCGCTTTGAACGCAACTCTTCTAAGAAACTAAGGATCTAGTAAGTTTTACATTTAAGGTCGCTTTTGAACGCGCTAAAAACTGAGTTCCAAAATCACCTGACGCTCTCAAAATCTTTCCATTCCTTAGAGTCGAGCAAAACTCGAGAGTAACCGACAGCTTTTCACTGATTTGTAATCTAGGTTTCTCCTTTAACACCAATCACTGGCCGATATGTTTGTTACTCCAAATCGAAATCAGTATAACCAGCATCTTTGGTCAGGGGAGAAGCTATTACACAGAATTCAGAATTCAGAATTCGTTTTTTATTGATTGAATCATTGAAACGTAAAGGAGTGCTCTAATTCTTCGGTATGGGAAAAATTATGACAATTATATATTGCAAAACTACGGTTATGATTAAGATTGACTCTTGGCTTGTATTCATAGGCAATTGATAAAGACTAGAACTTGAGATAAATCAGTCAGAAAGCTAAACTCGTTTAGTGATAATTTCGATTGCAGATTCAAGTAACGATTAAACTTTAGGTTTCGTCTCTGGATCAAACAGACTGCAGCACTTTGCTTATAGAAATTAATGAAAGACAAACGGAGAAAACAGAGTTCATAATAATCAACCAAAGTGAGCCTGAGCAACCTAAATTTTAAGTTTATTAGCATACAGCTTCGACATTTCAAAAGCAAAGCAGATATATAATAGCCGAGCTCGGTATAATGGGTACAAAATTGGCGTAGCATGTCTAATTAAACCGACAGTTACACTCTTGCCAAATCTTAAACACAATCCGATGAAGCCATTGATGTTTAAACATTAGATTATCAAATTTATTTTTCAAGTTTCTATCTCGCTTACGCGTGAAGAACAACATGTGGTTTCAAACTTGTAACTCGCGCTAGCTGCTAAAAACAGCTCATCAGTATTCAAGCGTGAAACCGACCCATTTGGATGACTCATAAATCTTGAAACTGTCTAAGCAATACTTAAAATGTTTTACTTGAAATCGTTCTCCAATGCCAAAGCTAATTTTCCTCATCAGAGTTTTATGCAACTCTTAAACATTTTCATTGTGTCTAGATACCCGGCAGTCGGGAAGTGTTTTCAAAAAACCACATATCCGGCGGTCTGAAATTATTATAGAAATTCCACGGAATAACTCATTCAATTCTTCTTAGAATAGCAGACCTTTGTTTAGAAATGTCAAGCGATTTCAAGTATCATTTTGGCTTTGTAGATGAAGAAATTGTCTAGCTTGGGCATACTACAGCAACTCGATGTCTCGACACTTAGAAAATATCCTTGCTCTGACTCCGTAGTCAACTCTCATAGACTAAAGTCCACACAAATTACAGTTGAAATCCTCTGAGAGTACTAGGTATTTGTTCAGAAATGCCAAGTGATTCTAAATAATGTTTTGGAGTTTGTAGTGGACACTTTTACAAATTAGCTCTAACATTACCAGTTAATGTGAAAATATTTACCACGAAATTTAAAGGCTAATATAAATATTTTTGAGTCTACGGAAACTGGCCTCGTCACGCAACTTATCAACCAATCGTAATTAATACAGGGTCTTCTTCACTGGCATGGACTTTGACACTATGATATATCTGTCAGTAAAACCTCGGTTGTTGCTGAAAAATGTGAGAAAAGTGAGAGCGTCGAACGCACTCATAATATTTGATTACTACTGGTTACAGTCCTAAAAATAGAATGACACCGGAAAGGGTTGACTCTGTGTTATAGTAGTGATGGAGGCTGCAGGGGGATGGACTCCTGGCACTGATCACGCCCTTTTTACTTAATAAAAGGTATAACATCCCAAGGTAGATTTTCGCCTTAGCTTAGACAATGTAGAGCTATTGGCTGTCGAAACTACGAGAACCATAAAAGCGCCTAATTACAGCTTTGGAAAGGTTGTAATGTTCGTTTTTGGGTCCCGTTCCGGAAGTGGTCTGTCGGACAATGAAATCGATCCAGAGTTGCGGCCAGATTTAAAGACTATAAAAAGTAGGTCGGTATCTTGAAATTCATGTTCTTATATTTTCTTACTAGCAGTTCAGCTACCATTTTTGTGGAGTTGTTTTGAATAAAAAGACATTATTACAAAAGAGCGTACTTCCTTCGTATTTAAAAATACCCTTGGCGAGGCCAAACGACTCTGATATGCGGCCGAAGCGTACCAAAAAGGTACGATTAGGTATTTACCTTAATACCCAAATTCGGCCAAGTGACCATGATATCTTAGCCACACCAGGACAGTGACTTGATATTGCAGGATATCCGGAAAGTAGGTACGGCTTCTGATTGGCTAATTGAGAATATGGTTACAGTAAATACTGAAATTGGACTGTACCGTACTAACCACTACAGCGTGAAGTAACTTAGTTATTGCCTACAGTACAGTTCAGATTGCGTCTACTATCTTTAAGTATCTGTATGTATCTGAAATGGCATTAAGTAATTAAAATCAATGTCGTCTTTTATTATTCTCCCCTTATTTTATTTTAGTGGTCGTAATATGCAGAAACGATAATAATGTCCACTATATCTTTAATCTTAAATTAATTGTCGTTATTGTTTTCTGATTAATCTAGTTATATGTACAAGCGATTCATGGCCCGCCTAGATTAGCACTTGCTATCCGCGGTACAAATAACATGTAATTTTAAAATGAAGGAAAATAAAGATTTATTTATTGTTGTTGTTCACTTTCATTGCTCATTGACAGTGTAACGCATCAGTCCCAAATCCAAAGTCAGGGGGTCCAACAAGCACTCCAGAAACCATAAACACTCCGTCCCGTAAAGTTCTGACCGTGATCGTATGGTAGCCTGGGTTCACTCTTGTTGCGATTGTATCATACCGATCCAGTTTTGAGTTTGAGTCGGTCTTAATAGCTTTGTCTTTGTTGTTATCCAGCCATATCTCAGCCTGGCCTCTGCTATAGAACCTACTTAAAACTATCACCGATCGTGTTCTTCGGGAACTATTTACAGCAATCATTGGAACATAGATCTTCAGCTGAAGGGTGCTGAAGCTTTTCGACGCACACCAACCTCCCTGAGAATCGGTACGAAGCTCTTTGGACACACTCTTAGCATTCATGTTTTTTCCGCGCACTTGAAAACACGATGAAAAGCTTCTGTTGTTTATAACTTCAAGTTGAAGACTTGGATGGTGAAGATTTTTAAAAGCATTTGGCGTTTTCCCAGTCCAGCACAAAGGCTTTTTCAAAGCTCCGCTTTCACGTTCGATAAGCAAGAACTTCGGTAAAGCAGAACTTCCGTGTCCTCCATCCACATTATAGACGTCATTGATAAGTTCTTGTGTAACGCTCCTCACATGTTTAATCATCAGGGAAGC